TAATTAAACAATTAACACATAGACAAATACAAATAATACATAGACACATAATCAAATAATCAAGTAATACCTAATTCAATTAAACACATAAACAATTAGTCAAATAATTAAGTAAATAATTAAAAAATACAATTAAAACAAATAAATAAATACTGAGACTATCCTTTTAAAATTAGGGGTATTACAGCCATGCATACTCAAGAACGGTTCGTAGCAATTGGTTTTGGGATTGGTGGCAACCGGGTTCGTGGTTCAGTTTTTGTTCGCGCTGATGATGTGTCTCACAACCAACAGAATAGGGATTATGTTCTTGTTTATCTACGTAGGCGTCCAACCTATGCGGATTATTTCGATAATGAGAAGATCAGATTTAGAGAAGTTGCGATGGATCGTCACGATAGAAACTATAGATATCTGGACAATCGTAAGTTTTAGAAAAAACTCGATTTACTTACAATTACTTCTAGTTTTTGTGCTGAGGATGTGTTATATTGGCTTAATGAGGTCGAGTACTTTCTTGAGTATTTTGACATACCCGAACACAAGTAAGTTCCTCTGGTAGCAATCATGCTTAAAAAGGGTGCTTCAACTTGGTGGGAACAGGTAAAGACTAACCATAGGAATCAAGGAAAACAACGTGTACAATCGTTGGCAAAGATGAAAAGGTTGTTGATTGCTAAATTTTTACCACCAAGTTACCAGCAAATGTTGTACAACCAATATTAGAATTGTAATAAAGAGACTCAGTTTGTCAGCAAGGAGGAGAATAGTGATGATTTTTTTGAAGTAACTGGTAATTTTCAAGAAAATAATTGTGAGAAAAATTCTACCACAACTCTTCTAGCCAAAGATGATAAAGTTGCTCAAATTTTAGCCGTGGTAGATGTACTTGGAAAGACTTCCAAGAATACAACTTCGGAGACCACATTCTTCGAGGAAGTAATTGATGGTTCAACAGAATCTCACATAGAACAAGAGGATGATGGCCATGAGCATTGCAATGTGGGTCTGGGGGACAATTGCTATCCAGTAACTATGTCAACTCAAATTTGATGGATTACAATGGCTCATGACTTATCAGACTTACTTTATTGGGGGAATGTAATACTGTAGGTGGAATTCATGATGATCCTTTGATGTCCAGTAAGCATATTAGACAGATCATTGATCCTAGAAGTGGTGCATGGAACCATATTTGAATGACTACGTTGATGACTTGGATAAAGATGCAGCCTCAAAAATTGATGGTGATTCCTTGTTGCTCAATGAAGTCCAAGTTAATGAATTAGATTCATTCAATGATGTGATACGAGAATTAGACCAGCAACTGTCGTCATAACCTGATTCTAAGTAATTATAATTGGCCTATTGGGTATCAAGTTCAAAGTATGATGGATTTCGTATGTCAATAGATTGGATGATTTTGCAATCATGATCATTGGTGAGGCAAATCCGGAACATACCATGGTATATTCAAAGCGTGGATTTTTCCGTATGTTGATTGGAAAAGGAGAACTAACTGAAGATGCCAGTAGACGTGACTTTTACCTTTAGTTGGTGGCAGCTTCCAAATTGGAATTAGTCAATTATTCCAATAAATGTGAAAGGTATGTGGTTACTAAGTTGGAAACTGAGATAGTTATTAATATGAGTCAAGTGCAGAAAACACCCCTATAGTATGCTTACAGTGCATATCACACACCTCATGTGCAGAAAACACCCCTAAAGTTTCAATTTGGTGCAAATTGGTCCCACCTGACACATTTAAACTATAGTTTGACTAAATTGCCCTTATATACACATTTTACATATTATTTAAAGAAACGAAAGGAACAATGGGAGGAAAAATCGAAGCATTTTTATGAAAGGTCGAGATTAGGTTCTCAGTGGTACACAATTTTGTTCACACTCATATATGATGAGCTAAACTTGAGGACGGGTTTTCTTTTAAGTAGAGGGGACTGACGTAGGATTGATTTTAGTATTTTTTTAATTAGGCTTATTTATGTATTTTTATTTTATATATTTAGAGAGTTTTTAGTTTTAGGTAATTTTCTTATATTTTTACTATTCTTATATTAGATTTCCTTGTGTTTTTAGTTTTCTTAAGCAATTAGTTTCCTTTTCAGTATTAAGGTTTTTTTTTGTTCTTTATTATAAATATACGTGTAATGCAAGAGCAAAAAATTTGAACCTTTTATCAATAATATTTTAGAATTCTATGTGAATATTTTATACTTGAGAATGATATTATTGCTTCCGCTACGTCATATGTATAAGTCAAATTGTAAGATTTTAACTGTTACGTCACCATATATTTGGCATTGCATTGTTACATTGCCATATATTTTGTTTTGCACAGTAATTGCCAAAAATCATGGCACTGAATTTGTTACCACTGCTAATCTGTTGTGTGGTTGCATCAGGTACCTTATATCCATGTTGAATTCTATCCCTCTTGTTAGTGTCCTTGAGTTTCATAGTTTGCTAGGGTTGTTCTTGGGATAGTTCATCCTTCTTTTGAATATGTCTCATACCTTATGGTTAATGATCTAATCAAGAATTATTGATCAACAAACTAGAAGACATGAAGGGCTTTTGTATAAGTCAACTTATAAGATTTTAACTATGTTATGTCATCATATATTTTGCATTGTGTGATACCCCCGGATTTACGAATGCGGGTTGGCCAGCCCATGCCCGAATACTCGAGGATATCAAAACAAATTAATAATAAACGAACACAGAGTACAAAAGAATAAAGAAGAATAAATAAAATGCTGACAAGAAACTAAAATGATAATCTAATAATAAACCTCAGAATATAATTCCATTAATTAATAAACTCTTCTGATACAACTGATCCTCCAAAATATTCCAAAATACAACTCAGGAATCCATACTGTGTGGACCCCTAGAAAATCCAAACTAAACAAATGACAGCAATAGCTGTCTAAATCAGGAAACTGAATCATAAAGGAACTCCTATGTAGCATCGGAAGAATGAAGTAGACTGATCCTCGCTCAGCACGAATAACCTCTACTCCTGACGAACACCTGAAAAAATAATGGTGGGTCAGGCCTACAAACAAGTTCTACTCTACTACAGTCCAAGCAAAGATCCGATACACATATCCATCCTAGTCAATCTAACGGTAACTAGTAGTCCGTATATATATATATATACACACACTAAAGGAACCTCACTAGACTATAGGGTTGTCTCAACCTGAATAGTAGGTAACATGCAAAATGCACATATAGTGGGCATGAGTACTTAGATTTACCAGGGTACACAACTACACCATATCTAGCTACACATCCCTGGCGATATACGCGCCCTAACCATTGATCCTGAGACTCAAGCTCATATCATGATACCATACTTATATATATATAATCTAGTAACCATCCTATCTAGTATAAATTAATCCTCCATAAGTCATTCAACTTGTTCAGCTGACCTGACTTGAATATAAGTAGGATTTAACATTTTAGTTAATCCATTCCCTTATATAAAATAGGTAGGACTTAACTGATAAGTTAATCCGTCCCTAAAATGCCACCGTCCCATACCGGTGTATTAAATCACACAATCCAACAATTGATGTAACGATTAAGGAAATACATCAAACAATCTAGAAATAACTATGATAATATGATATCAAGTTATCACAAAATAGGAATGACTTATTATTTATTTAAGCTTCCTATATCATATGTCTTTCACAAACTGAATCTTATACATGATGATATTTTATTATACCGTCAAATAAGCATTCTCCATATCCAATTCATCCTACACATTTAATCTTAATTGCTAAAATATTTTAAAAGATTAAATCCATTCGTTTGTTTAAAGCATTCAAATAGCAAGCATCATTATGATTGAGTTTATTTAAATTTATTTAAACCCAAACCTAGTTCCTATTTAATGTTCAGGAATCTTAGGCATGTTTCTACGTTCCATCATTCCATAGATATGAAAAATACATAATGTAAACATATAAAAATTCACACCGGAAATCAAATCAAAATCATACATTTATCAATTTATAACACAAGAACAGATAAGAACCAATTTCATAAAATCTATGTTCTAATCCAATTAAACATGCATAATTATTTAAATTTATGTGTTTAATAAATTCTGGAATTTCCTAGGCATGCATAGAAACACGAATCAAAGGGAAAGAGATAGAAGAAGAACTTGCCTTAAACTTTCGGATCGAAAGTTAAACTTCTTCTTCCTTGATCTTCTCTTTACAGGGTTTTTTTTCCTCCTTCCTTCATTTTCCTCCTTCCCTCTGTAACGCTCTCTCTCTAGAGTATATCACGTGAATATTTCTACTCCCTTTTACAACCTATAGCTATATATTTATAGGTTAAATAAATTAACCCTAACCCTTTTCCCAATCCAAGTCAACTTAAAAAAAATAAATATTAAAATATTAAAAAGGTAAGTAAAATATGTTACGTATATAATTTATGTATATCTTTATTAAATAAATAAATTATACACATCCCATTATTTATTAATGGATTACGGTAGGAATATATATTTAAATTGTAGAAACGTCTATGGTATGTTGAATGCTTGTCCAACAGTGATGAGATTTGTTGGTATCCATTTAAAAGTGGTTGACCTTCTTAGTTTATTGTTTCTCTCACAATTGTTAATAATTTTTCTCATAGTGTTAATGTTAACGTCATATGATATGGTCAAGGATCTTATTCTAATAATAAATACATGACACTTCATTTTCTATAAAACATAAATGACAATCATTACAAAACTTGGATTGACATTTATTTGTTTGTTAGCCATCACACTAGGTCACCATTGCCATCATCTAGTCTTGGTCCCATGGTGGCAGCCCAAATCTTACACAATCGCCCTATTACACAAGCATGCCACATCAGTGTACATAAACATTTTATGGATGATTTAACTTAATATTTTACCTTTTATTTATTCCTGTAATTTTAATGATAAATAGGTCCTAGATAAAATGCATGCTCGAGGTAGCGGTCCTCGTGTCATGATTACTAGGCAACCTACTGATGGGAGAAGTCGGAATGGAGGTTTAAATTCTTTCATCCTCAAAATGTTGTTATTTTCCTTCCATTCAAAGATGAAATTTTTCAGGATTGCGGGTTGGAGAAATGGAACGCGACTGTTTGATTGCTTATGGCACTAGTATGTTGATTTTTGAACGCTTAATGATTTCCAGTGATCCTTTTGAGGTTCAGGTACAGCCAACATGTGTGCAATTTACAATTCTCTTTTCTTGAATTTATATATCACTTATATATCTTTGCAGAAATAAAGTTGTGCTAGAATAGATGCAAATCAACATTAAAATATGTTGATTAATATTGTTTGCATGGTGTTATGAAGGGATATTGTAATTGTGTTTGAAATTTTTATTGTTAATTAGGTTTCTATTCTAGGGTTTTATGTTACTCCCTCCGTCTCAATTTAATTGTCCGTCTTTCTTTTTTGGGCTGCCCCAAAATACTTGTCCCAGTTGAAAAGTCCAAGTAAGATAAATGCATAACTTAGTAATTTTAAAAGGTGACAATGCATTAAATGCATGCCTTCTTAAAAAGTTATACTACCCAAAAGTGACTACCTAATGACGGAGGGAGTATTTAGGAAAGTTCTTGTTAGGGTATACTTGAGCTCCAATGAATTGTAATCCTTGTCCCACAAAGAATTGATTAGTGTTGACTTTAAGAGAGAATCAAATCAAAGAGTAAAGTGTAAGAAGAAGAAAAAGAGAAGAAAGAGGGTGAAAGAAAAAAAAAAAGAGAGATGGGGAAAGAAAGAATGAAAGAATACTTTCATCCTTCCACCACATTATATTTATAATAATAAGTTTCAAAAATTGCACATAAGCCCCAACATTATATAAGTAATAACAAATAAGCCCTAACAACACTCCCCTTCAAGTTGATGCAAAGATATCTATCATGCCCAGCTTGACTAACATATTTTGCAAGCAAGTCTTGCTCACACCCTTAGTCAAAACATCAGCAACCTGATCATGTGTGTTGACGTATGGAGTACAAATTAGCCCAAGACAAAGATTTTCCTTGATGAAGTGCCGATCGACTTCAATGTGCTTTGTCCTGTCACGTTGAACTGGATTATGGACAATGCTAATAGCAGCCTTGTCAACTTCATTGACTCGCGAATAGGATAACTCAACTCACCCAATATCATTCGAAGTCATAACAACTCACAAACTCCATGTGCCATGGATATGAACTCAGCCTCTGCACTAGATCTAGACCCTGCCCAATTAGCATCAGTATAGGCTTCAACACGCAAGTGGCCATGACAGCCAAACAATATCCCCTTACTAGATGTACCCTTGAGGTAGCAAAGAACATGATGAGCTGCCTCAAGGTGAGGTGTGTGTGGAGCATGCATAAACTGATTAATCATATTAACAGCGTAGGCAATATCTGGGCGCGTGAGAGATAGGTAAATCAGTCTCTCAACCAATCGCTGAAATCTCCCCACATCGTCTAATGGGTCTCCATCTACATCATTAAGCCTATAGTTTTGCACAATGGGAATATCAACAAGTCTAGCTCCAAGTCTAGCTCCAAGCCTGCCTATTTCAACAAAAAAATCTAACGCATACTTCCATTGAGAAATGAACACCCCTTTCTTCAATCTGCATACCTCGATGCCAAGAAAGTATCTCAATGATCCGAGCTCTTTAACCTCGAACTATGTCCCCAAGAATGACTTCATTCGATGAATCTCTTCTAAATTATTTCCAGTGATAACAATATCATCAACATATACAATAAGAGTATGATCAGCCTGACTCTGTGTGTACCCTACTCTTTTCACAGCAGTGCTAAACCTCTCAAACCAAGCACGTGGCGACTACTTTAACCCATACAAGGCTTTATTTATCTTGCACACTAAATTCTGCCCATTGGCAAGCTTAAACCCTGGTGGCATAGTCATATACTCCTCTTCCTCCAAGTCACCATGAAGGAAAGCATTTTTTACATTTTGCTGATGTAAAAGCCAATTCAAATTAGTTGCCAAAGAAAGGACATATAGAGTTCATCTTGGCAACTAGAGCAAATGTTTCCAAATAATCAGTCCCATAGGTCTGAGTGAGGCCCTTTGCAACTAACCGGGCTTTTATATCTCTCAATTGTTCCGTCTGTATGATACTTTATTGTGTAGACCCATTTGCAGCCTACTGGTTTCTTACCCCTAGGTAATGGAACAATATCCCAAGTACCATTCTTCTCAAGAGCCTTCATCTCTTCAAGCATGGCCTCCTTCCATGGAGTTTGACTGAGAGCATCTGAAACACTAGAAGGAACAGATACAAAGGAGATACACAAAGTGAAAGCACGATATGTTGGAGATAAAGCATCATAGGATACAAACTGAGATATGAGATGTTTTGTATAACTACGAACACCCTTATGATAGGCAATAAGGACATTAAGATCAACATGAATACTATTGGGAAGAGAATCAGGATTATCAATGTCAACTGAGGAATTACCTGGATCAACGGAGACTTCTTGGTCCTGAGGTGAGTCAATGATTTGGTTTTGTCCTCCAAGTGTAGGCAATTGGCTGCTTTCCCTGCTTCAAATAATTAGTGGTAGGAGGACCAGACATAAGCACCTTAGTAAGAAGCTCCCCCTGAATGGGAACAGGCAAAGGAAAGGGGCATTCCCTCTGAATGGACGACGAATTTTCTACCTGTATATTAGTCTCCCCCTTAGAGAATCCCGAATAATGGAAAAAAAGGAATAGACTCAAAAGAATGTAACATCCATGGAGACAAAGCGACGACGAGTGGTAGGAAATGAGAGGTACATGTCTGAGCGAAGTTAGAGGTGGAAATGGAGGCATTTTGAGCTAGTAGATGTCGAAGAGCATCAAGTTTAGCCCCGGACAAAGAAATTGGTGGCCCTGAGGAGACATAACCAGTAGCCTTACACTCTGCAGTATGTGCTGTAGATAACCCCCTAAATGGACCAAGCCTTGGCCTAGCATTCGCATGTGCATGAGCTGGAGTATGGCAACCGTGTAGATTCCAACATGTTTCCCTAGTGTGGCACGTACGCCTCAACTTGCTCTTGTCATCCTACTTCCCTCTTTTTGGAGGATTGGGCTTGTTCCATTATTGTGTGGCAAGAGCAGACCTCTCAGACAATGGTACTTCTAACTCAGTTACCATGTTGACCTTAAGAGATAATCAAATCACCTAGAGCAGACCTCTCAGACAATGGTTTTTACTATACACCTAGAGCTTTTCAAACCTTGCTTTGTTACCATGTTGACTTTAAAAGATAATCAAATCAAAGAGTAAAATATAAGAAGAAAAAAAGAGAGGATGAGAGAAAGAGAGAGAGATGGGGAAAGAGAGAAAGAATGAAAGAATACTTTCATCCTTCATTATATTTATAATAACAAGTTTCAGAAATTACACATAAGCCCCAACATTATATAAGTAATAACAAATAAGCCCTTGACAACAATTAGAGCTCTATAAATAGACACCTAGGATAATAGTTGAGACTTGTGAGAGTGAGAGAGACATTATCTCGTGAGGAATAGTTAAGTGAGAGTTACAGCTCCTCCACATCTCACTGCCTTTGTAGATGTGGTTTACAGTTGGTACTGGAGAGAGCGATCATCTTTCGACAATGCAGTGATTGTAAAGGACAAAGACAAGTCCATAGAAGTTGTCTCCGAAGAGAGAATCACTACAGAAGAACTAGACTTGGACATTGGTGAATCTTCCAATAGGTAAAAAGGTGATTGGGTGCGAGGGGGTGTTCAGTTGCAATGTCATAGCTAGAGTGCAATTCACTTAGCTAAGAACCAAACGTGTTATGCAAGGACAAAGCACATAGACGTGCCATACCACAAATGGAGTTGACAACCTCAGGAGAGATTCAGTTGCAATGTCATAACTAGAGTGCAATTCACTTAACTAAGAACCAAATGTGTCATGCAAGGACAAAGTGCATAGACGTGCAATAACACAAATGGAGTTCACAACCTCAGGAGAGATACAGTTTATGAAGGTTTACACTGAGGAAAATGTAGCTGACATGTTGACTAATCCAGTTTCTGCAGAAAAGTTCAATTATTATTTGGATTTTCACAAATTGAAGAAGAATGGAACCTACTGTCTAAGGGGGTGCATTCGGGTGCCATGAGAGATAACCACCTTGGTGGGAGAGAATTCCAGAATTTCAAGGTGCTTGACAGAGTTTGAGTGTGTTTCATACTCCTTGTTGGCTTGGGTTTCTAGTTTTTGAGTTGTTCTTGGTTTAAGAAAAGTCTTGTTAGGTTAAGCTCCTAGTAATTGTATTCCTTGTTCAACAAGAATATCTATTCCTTTGCCATCAAGAATAGGGTTAGGAGCTCCATAAGCAGTCCATGCTCTGAGTGAGAGTCGAGACAGTTTCTGATATAACTTCTTGTGCCAGCGGAAACATATACACATGTGGAGATCCAATAACAAATAACAGGACACAAGATTTAACATGGTTTGGCACTATGCCTACATCCACAGAGGAGAGAAAATGAAAATTGAGTAACAAAAATTAAATCATGTTTACAAAAGCACTCAATTTTCAAACCTTGCTCTCAACCCTCCCACTCAGGCTCTCAACTATCAAAACTTTCCCTTATTGGAAACTCACTCTTGCAGTAATTGTAGTATTGGATATTCTTAGTCACACTATTAGTATTGCCCAATATGTTGGTAGAACATCAGTAGAGTCTTGCTCGAAATTATTTTTTCTTTTTCTTTTTTTTTTTTCTTTTTTTTTTTTTTGTGTGTATCTTTTTACCATGGCAAGAAACACACACACACACACTTGTCCCTACTGGGACTTGAACCCTCGACCTTCTACTTTTGAAGATGAGGAAGTACCACTTGCCTACAGCCTTTGGTCTTGCTGCAAATTATAGCCCTTGTTTTTAGCAATTCGTCTTAGCTTCTGCATAGTGAGATGTTGAACAGCCATCTCAAAGCATATAAATCTGTTACTTATCCATTTGGAAATCAGCCTTGCCGCTAACGTTTTCAACTCACTGTAATGATTTCCTTTAATCGATAATATTATGCAATTTCAATTTCAAAGGGTGTGTATTTACGCAGATTGAGTATCCAATTGGTATTATAACATCGTTGTCGTCCAGATTGTTTCCAACATGCACTAGTTTGGCACTCTTTGTTTTTTAAGCATGAGTAGAGTCATGTTCTACTAAAACTATCATCTGCATCAATTTCAATTAACATTTTCAATTATGTAAATAGTCTAAATTTTTTATACTGTCACAGGTTTGCAGAAAGTGTGGTTTGTTAGGATATTACAACTATAAGCTGAAAACTGGCATTTGTTCGACATGTAAGAATGGGGAAAATATTTCTACCATGAAACTGCCCTACGCATGCAAGCTCTTATTCCAGGTAAACTTGACAGTTCAATGCTGATGATTTTGCATATATAGTCTTCGATTTTCAGACATTCTTACATGTTCTTTGCTTTTTTGTAGTATTAAAGTAGTCATACATGGTTTTTGTAGATTTTGTACATTCTTAACTCTTAAGCATGAATAGGTGTGACCAAATAGCCCAAGGCCGGCCCAAGCTTGCTATGTGGGATAACCTGGGTCGACCAGTGCTCCCCATTGAACGGGCCTAGGCCTGGTGTCCCAGCCTGTGAGGCCCAACAGGCTGGCAGCCCATGAGTCCGGCACAATGTTTATTTAGATAATAATGCTTCCATTGGGGCATGAACTCACCTCCTCTCCTTTTGTGTAGGTTGTGAGTACTCAAATCACATTCCGTCGGATATTCAGGATAAGGCTTTCAGTTTATATTATATGTTGAATATCTCATGCTAATATATGAATTAGTTTATTAAGTCAACCATGCATAGAGAAACTCAAAGACCCATCCACGTTCCAAAACTTTCTTTAGTGCAGGACTTCCCAAAATATTGAATTTTGAGTTTTTTTTTTTTTTCCTGTCCAAAATTATTGGATTTTGAGTATAGTCATTAGTCGTTTTACTGTTCAGCATTTTGCATATTTTGTTTCTTTGTTATTTGTTATCGTTTGTTCAATCCGGATTTCTACTAAATTGTACTTACTCTAATGATTATTGTATATGCATCCTTATCCTTGCCAAATCATTTGAGAAAATTGAAAATTTCTATTTGTGGGAGCTTTCAGAAAATTGAACCAAGCATAATTTTTTGTACAGTTTTCTGTTTTCAGTTTTTTGAAAATAGAAAACTGTTCTCAGAGTTCAAACCAAGCAGGCTTGTTTTTTTGTTTTCCGAGTTCTTGAGAACTGTTTTTAGAAAACTGACCCAAACATTAATTTTTGAATGAATTGTGCTTGCTTGCTTTTGAGTTTTTGTTTTCAACTTTTCGAATTTGATGGATATGTAAAACAAAAAAATGATAAAAACAATGTTTGTGGTAGTGTTGGAGGTGTATTCCTTCTCTAATGTCGTCTTGTGTTTGCCTTTGATTTTATTAATTATGTTTTTTTTTTCCTTTTTTCAAAGGAAATTTTGGTAAAATTGGGCCAAAGGCCTTTTCTTTAACATGGCTATGTTCATGCTCTTAGGAACTACAATCAATGAACATTGTTCCTCGCTTACAATTAGCCGAGGCTTGATCTTTGGGGTTTGCCTGCTCGTACAAACTGAAGCAAATGGATGATGGGCAAGGTGCTGCACGTCCTTCTGAAGTGCATTGGACAGGACTTCTCTGTGGAAATATGATCAGGAATAAATGGTTTTTCAGCATAAAAGGGCATTATATAGGACTGAGGAGAAAACAATCAGACTGGCCTATCCTTGCAAAATCTGAAGATTGGTTCAGCATGAATTCCATTTTTGATGGATTTGAGGTTTCAAGCTATATCGTCATTCATTACATTGAATTTGCAGCATATTGCAAAACATAAGACACATCAAGGCTTTTCTATGCATTGCAGCTGAGTTGGTTCAAATGAATGTATAACTAGGTATCCATTTGTTGGGATTGTAAATAAACAAGACTTTGGTTTCAAATTATTCAATTGAAAGAAAAACAGTATGGAGTCGAATCATTTTTTCTCTTCCTAAAATTTTAGTGCTATATTACTCTTCAAAGAATATTCTTGGTCGCTTAGATGGCTCAGAGAAAAGTATGTTAAGAATGTAAATTTTTGGAATTTAAATTTAAAAAATTATGATTCTGTTGTTTGGGAGAACATCTTTAGCTCCGAGGGAGCAACGTTTATGTTCAAAAATGTTTCTTTCAAGATTTTGACATTAGTCCCACCTAAACTGTGAAGTGTCTACCTGTTACACAGATTTTGACATTACTATTTCTATTTTTAACACTTAAATTTTTTTTTCATAAATTTAACAACTTTAATATTAAAAATGATAGTGTTAAAAAGATAGTAAAATTTAGTGTGATGAAAGAAACCACAAGCTACCAAAGCATTTAAAACTTTCTTTCCAACATAATTTTTTTTTTGCATTATTTAACACTCTTCGAATTAATTTACATTACATATGGAAGTATGAAATCGACGCGTTGAGACTATAATTGGAATTGCAATGTGCCAATTCCATGCTTCCAAATACGGACAGCTTCAATTAAAAAGCATCATGCACTTTGTTCCTACTCAAGGGACGAGATTGTTTTTTTTTTTTTTTTTTTTTTTTTTTTTTTTTTTTTTTTTTTGGATAGAAGATAAGAGAATAAGCTCGTAATTTCTTATATTCCTTCAGAGAGAATTCTTGGATGGAGTTTGGACACCGGAGGACTAAGGCCCTCAAACCATCTTCTTTAATGTGTGGTTAAATGCTATGAACGGTACGAGTGGCAAATATAGATGTGACTAATTTCATAAAATTAATGTGTTTTCATTGATTAGGCATACTAATGACATTGTGAGGACAGTCTAAATTGATTACGAATCAAGAAGGTGAGTGAAGCAGTCATTGTGAGGCTTGAGCATTGGACGGTTGAAACCCGGTCTGAATTGGTTATCAATCAAGGAGTGATTAGTGAAAGTCATTGTGAGAGGCTTGAGCATCGTTTGGATGTCATATGTGGAATTTTTTTGGGGTTATGCTGAACATTTAGGTTGTTCTTTCAAACTCGAAAACAGTATATAGTTATCTATAGAAAAATAGCCTCTACATGTAAAGGTAAAATTTCAAGACAGAAACAAAATTGCATACATCTAACCTTCCCTGCAATGGCAACAAGAGCATCCGGGGCGCAAGCAACTTTAGAGTGACAGTGTCTCAGTGTAGAGAGAGAGAGAGAAAGGGTCGGTACGCAAAAGCAAGTAGAGTGCCTTTTTTGTGGGCCCTACAATTACTCTCTATTGAGTTATCTGCAGACAGAGTGGGCTTTGGACAATCAGCTAAAAAAAATTTTGTTTGTGTAATTGACTGTGTGGCTTCTATCTTGTATCAATCAATTGATACAAAGTAAAACACAGACAAACGGGTCTTGCAACGGTAATTTTAAACGGTTATATTATTTACACTATAAATACTAAATTTCATCTTCAATAATTATCCTCTTCAATAATTCTCTCTTTCAATATTTTTTTTAACATTCATCTATGTGGATCCTCAACCTCCATCCTATCGCCCCAAATTCAAATTCAAATTTTTTATTTTATTTTTAAATTAAATATATAAAATAATAAATAGAAAATGAAATAACTAAGTTCCACACTATGAAACATTTGGATAAAAAAAAAAATAGAGTACCGTATCATCACCTTTTAACTTATGTGGCACTGGCAAGATGATGACTCAAAATTCGAAAGACCTAGCCTTAATGGGGGAGCTTAAGGGCAATACAACACCAGCGAAAAACAAAAAAACTATTTACAAAGTGATACATACAAGGTAATTTCAAGTTCCAGGTATGCAAAATTAGTACTTTTCATCTTCAGAAACTTGACACCTATTATTTTTTCCTAACAAATATCAAACTACAATTGAAAGTAAAAAAAAAAAAAACAATAAAAAGCACAGGAAACAAGGACTTAGAGGGAAGAAACTTTGTAATTGATTAGCTTTTGAATTAGAAGGAACTTGAATTAAATGATGTTCAGCTAAGAGACATTAGAGAAGCTGCTTTTTGAAGTTTCGGGTTGTGGTTTGGTAAGTACGGACTAGCAAACCGACTCCTATTCCGATTCCCAGACAAATGCCAAGCCCTATCCCAACACCGACTCTCACACCAGCATTGAACCAGGACAGTTCACCATCTTCTCCTTCCATGTATTCTGTTCTCCTCCAGTAAATGTTGTAGTCTTCTTCACTTTCTGGTTTGTAGTTACTGTATTCTGCTGCCTGCAATGGAAAAACACAGAAAATGCAAATCATGTGCAACTGGGCAGGAAAAGCACACCTTATTAGAGACCACCTAGACGCGAGCCGGCTAAAATCTGGTCTATTAATTTTTATGTGAAGCATAACATGTAAAAATAATAAAATGATCTCAATTCGGAAGAACCATACACATTATGTTGGAATTAATAAAGCGATTTAGGGTTTAATGGAGAAGAACTAGATGCAATTGCTTGTGGCTAAGCATAGCATCTCATTACGAGAATCAACATGGATCAGAGGTTTCCGCGGACATGGTTTTGGCTTCTTTTTTTTTTTCTTTATGGATCTAGACCGATAGTTACTGGCATTATTATCTAGTGTTAACTAACCGCAGTGGCAACATGAATGAGGTTAACAAATCAAATTAGAAGGCTTAGACCCCATGTCCCCAGAGCACATGGAAGTCTTCTTAAAAACTAGCACACAATCGTTGCCGCCCAATTACTTTTAAGACAAAACAAGGATCTATTCTGACAGATAACAATTATGCAAAGATCAGTTGTTGCGCTTTAGAGATCTATAAGAAAAATTAGGATCCTCGGATCAATTTTCATATTTCAAAAATTTGAGAGCTAGTGCTGTCCATGCAAGACGATCCAATATTTTCAGTTGATGCTAGTTTCTAGCCCGTAATTTCTCCTAGACATCTATGATTGCACAAACACTAAGATGTATGCATACAGGGTAATCCCCGGTTAAAATGATTATAAGCTTAAAACTCTAAACGATGACTGAATCTCAAGCATTGATGCTGTAGAGACCGATTTAGCCACCGAAAAGGACTAGAAGAAAGAGAACAAGAAGAGAGAGTGGGTCCAACCAGTGAAGTGTGGATCTGGCAGCAAGGCCCATGCAAGTCAGGTACTGGCAGAACAATGGATAATGCAACTGAAAATGAAAGGGCAATTGAGTATTACTCAATCCCTTCAAAAAGTGTGCCCTTTGCCCATACCCCTCAACATATTAAGGATAAGATGCTGTTTGCCAACACTAGAATCAAACCCCATTTTGCAACAAGAAGCATGTTTCCAAAGAGGAAGCAAGTGGACAACCATAACAGATGACAAAGGTCACAGAGAGGCCATTCATGATCATGCTGTGTGCCTGTGTGCTCTCCCCATCAAATGAAACACTATAATATAAATTTTGAAGCAACACCACCGTATTTTGTTGGGAGCCATGACTTGGTCCCACTTTACGAATTTCAGCTTCAAAACACTGATTTATTTTTATCGTCGACGATGGTGGTGTTGGGCATCTTAGAGCACCCCATAATCCTACACCACACACATGCAGTCCCCTTTGTCACACATGCACTGGGCAATTTCCGAAAAAATTCCCCCGGGGTGGCGTCAAGGGGGTCCCACATGATATGTGATTAAAACATGTGATAACATTGATAAAAAGAAAATTGAAGCATGTCAATACATAATTAATCTGGGATTCAAATTTGTCTAAATGAGAAAATGGTCTAACTGTATGTCTCCAATTATGCTACAGTCCGGGAATTAAAGTGTGTGTTCATAGAAAGGGTTTCTCTTTTCCTAATAATAAGTTAACCAAGTGCCAGATTCACTAAATAATTTTTATTTTCAAACTACAGTGCATCATGTGACAATATGGAGAACTTCTGTATCACAAACTAAGAGCTCATTAAACCAATTTTCTGATTAATAATTGCTAGACTAGCTGTATAGGATGTGCCTTATTAGAGATAGTATTATCATGGTAGCATTAAAATGGTAGATGAACACTAGCTCAGAAAATTAAAGAGAACCTAACATAATCTGAATTGAATCCGAGAACAAAAAAAATTGCAATATATTACCTGCAGATCAAGACCAGATGCAACATCCTTCTGGGATTCAGGTGTTTCGTACTCCGGGATTGAATCCAGCATCCCCTTCCTATTTGGCTTCTTCCGAAAACTAAGCTGCAGAGTCTTGGTTAAGATGATTGGTGTTCCTGAGAAGCAACCAGCAATATAAACCTCAACGGTTGGCAACAATGTATCAGAACCCACAATTTGCTTTCCCTTCAAGAATCCGGTGCCAACAATCATCACCGATTCACAATTCATGCTCCACAGCCTGGGACTGTTTCTTGATTCCCCGATAAAGCCATTGCTATTGGACATCTCCAGAACCCCAGAGAGCAAGAGATCCTCCTTATTAAAAACCTCGAATTTCACACTTCCTGTCAACCTTATACTATCCGTGCTCACAAACGTGGCTTCTTCGGATTTCTTATCCACTCGGTTTCTTCTAAGAATCGAAGAGACTCTTTCCGAGCAAATGGTACACCTTATACCATTCACTTCAAGGAGGGTGTCAGGGCTCAGAGGAATGTGGTTGAGAGTGAGACACTCCGGGGTCGAATCATCAACCAAGAAATTGCTGATTCTAACATAGAAAACTCTCAAATCAAACCATTTCAATGATAATTTGCTATAGGATTGGTAAGAATAAGATGGGTGTCTTATAATCTGAAGCCCCGGATCAGCCGGTTTATTTTCGTTCAATGTTTCATAAGAATTCTCCATGTTTCAAAACCTTAATCCTCACTAAAATCCTTCAACGGGGACTAAAACAAAAATATGGAAAGAACCTTTCAAGCATGACTCAGTCCTGTACCAAAACCAAGAGAACATCAATACTTAGAAAATTATGAACAACAAAACTATATGGAAATTAAAAATTAAAAATTAAAAATTAAAAATTAAAAATTAAAAATTAAAAGAACTAAACAACAAAATTACAAGGATGTCTTTTATATTGATCAATTCACAGAGACCTTGTAATTGAAGATGAACCCAAAAAAATTCAGCTGATGAAACACATGACCATAAATCTATATCAACAGAAATGACAATACAATGAATGCTCCCAAATTGGTACTGAAGAAACCCTAATTTGAGGAACAGAAAGTCCTTGATACAAGGAAAAGGGAAGACAGAATCATAACTGAAAGAGTGATATAATCTAACTTTTGTATGGGATCAAGAAAGAATAGGGACATGAACTAGTAATTGCCAGCTGTACTTTCTGTTCCAAGTCAATACATATTTGGTTTGAAGACATCAAACCTTATGAATAGAACAGAGGAGAGAGGGAGAGTGTGTGTGTGTGGAAGATATAGTGAAGAGAGAAGATATAGGTGTTCTCAAACAAGAAAATTTAATCAAAAAAATTCTCTACATATGATGCCCATAATAGAAATCAATTAATATAGTAAACACAAAATATAAAAACACAAAAAATCAACGGTGAATACAGAATAGAAATTGAAATTCTGATTTTGGAGATGAGAGAAATAAACTAACAGTCTAATAATGGATCCAAACAAAGAAGAATTTAAATTTCCTTTGTTTTTCTTTGAAATTCCAAAGCAAAGCAAAGATTTAATGGAGCTTAATGGTCTGGACGACTGCAACTCTGTTATATATAGAGAGAGAATAGGCCAAAGAGTCCAACATAACCGCCGGCAATTTAACAGTAACACGCGTCAGACAACTCTCCCTCTCTCTCTCTAAAACGCCACTCTCTCTCTCTCTCTCTAGAGAAAAATACAGATTAGAGAACCACAAGCATTTTATGAAATTACGTAATTTGCTTACCAAGAAAAACTTCCACCACAAACCGTGTGTCTCTTTCCACTAGTGTGTGTGTATATATATATATATATATATATAACCTCCAAATAATCGAATTTAAGTTACGACTTGGGAGTGATTAGACGAATCGCTTTCAAGTTACAAGGTCAGAGGTTTTGTTTATGTTCCTATCCAATTTTGTGGCAAAAAACTGACCCAATTTTTTCAAAACATTTGGCACGGCACACATTCAGTGAGTTTGAGGGGGAAAAACACGTTAAGTGAATGACTATTAAAAGAAATAAATTAATAAAAATATCTTTAGTAATAATTTTTTTTTGAAGAAATTACATATTACATACATCATACATCAAGTGTAAAAAGAAAAAATTTAAGAATATCATACATTATAAGTAAGTGTAAAAAGAAAAAATTTAAAAAGTAAAGAAAAAGGAAAGAAAAATGAGAACTTTGAAAGGAAAAAAACAAATTAGAGTTTTATGAAAGAAGATAAATTTAATCATTTTTTAGGAAACTAAAGAAATTATTTTTTAGGAAACTAAAGAAATTTAAAGAGTGCAAAAAAAAAAAAAAAAAAAAAAAAAAAAAAAAAAAAAAAAAAAAAAAAAACCAACTATGATGGCTTTTTCACTAGTAATATTATTTTATAATGATAAATTTTAATCTATTGATCGAAATAGAAACCATCCTATTGTGTTTTTATAGATTTTGATCTAGATGGAGTTATTTCATTTTTTATTACTCTATTAGTGTTTGTGGAAGATAAATCTTAAAATTCCTTGCATATTCTCATAATATATTACATATTAATATATATGTGTATAGCCAAGGGACAATTAATTGATAGACATCGGGTCTCCCTCTGACAATCTCCGAATGATTCGGTATGATCTTATCCAAATTCCAAAGTGATCATGAAAATTCATATTCACATTGTGATTGGTGAAATGATATTTGATACTATGTTTTTCTTCTATTGGGCTATTTTATTAAGGAAATATTATTCCCTCTTTCGCATGTTAGTTGTTAGGTCAAAAATTTTGACTCACTGTTCACTATTTACTTTTTATCTTCAAATTATTTGAGATTATTTTTAATTATATTCATTTTATATATTATCTCCGTTTTATATTAAGTGTCCACATCGAAAACATTACAATATCTGATTTCGATTGATTGGATTTCTTTTAAGACATAACCAATGAATTTTTGTACTCGGTACCAAAATATGAATTCACTTTGAAAATTGTGACACTGAACATCTATTTTGAGAGAGTCATAATTTATAAAGTAGACATTTATTTTGAAACAGAGTAAGTATGATATAGAATTCCAATACAATTTGAGTGTCCCACCAAAACTTCTTGAACAGTTTCGTAAGGATACATTCAATTTCTTCGACAGCCTGACTTCAAAACAATTCCTTTGGAGCTAAGAAATAAGAAAGAGATTTTCATCATGCTAAATGATTTAGGCTCGATACACAATTTATTTAATATCCTAAAACATGACATTACATATGTTGAAATGAAAAAGAAAAAAATTAATTGAGCCAATTATAGTAATGACATGGTATTACTAACTTATTAAATACTGTTATATAATAATATGATTCATTAAAATAAAATATTTTTACTTATGTGACATGATATAATTAATTAATGACACAAATAACGAAATATTAAAAATACAAATATATATATATTTTTTTGTTGAAACGAAGTTCAAAACCGACTTCAAAAAGATTTCCTTCAAGTTGAAGAAAGAAGAGGATATTTTCATCATTCTTTGACAACCTAAAACATGAAATCACATACATTAGAAGTGTAAATACCCATTTTGCACTGCTTTCATAAATAAATTTAAATATTTGTTTTTAAAAAATAAAAAATAAAAAAGGAAAGAAAAATAATAATAATAAAAACAAAAAACAAAAACAAAAAAAAAAAAAGAAAAGGAAAGGAAATTCAAACATTACTTCCCCCCCTTTTATTTTCCCTCACACACACACAAAATTCATCCTAATGCATTTTCATATGTATGGTACTATAATGCACTTTCATATTTCACTCATTTTTAGTGTCTAGACATGCAATTAAGCATATCCTTAACTTTGGTTGTTTTTTTAAAAAGTCAAATATATACTGATATAAATAAAAAATTATTAGATGGTCTGAATCTATTTAACATTGGTTAGACTAATTCACTGGCAGCCATCCGATCATATTGTATAATATATTAATACACTTTTGTGGAGTTATTTTATCGATCCGAGAATCTGTATTTAATTGGTCCACCAAGTATCAATATCTAAGATCATCTAATAATTTCTTGATATAAACAAGTCTTTCATTGCTCCATTTTTATCCAATTACAAACACTTTTCATTTTTAATTGCACTTCATTCTCATGCACCACTCATAGTTTTATAAAAATCACATGTTTTCAAAAAAACTCATAAGTATTAAGCTAATCCAAGCAATAGGTAAAGAGAGGACTACAAATTAATTACTTTCCTCGAAAGCTACTGTGTTTCTTTATTTTACCAAACTTTTCAAAATTACATATTTTTTAAAAATTCATGCATCATTAAAGTTTTGAGAAGACTAAAAGTTGTACATGCTTGGTTGTTAATTCTGAAAACAGTTCTCAGAAATTCAAAAAATAGTTTTCAGAGAACTATAAAAGACTGTTCTGTAAAAACAGACATTTTTATAACTTAATTTTCAGAAGACTATAAAAGATTGTTCGGTGAAAACAGGTATTTTTATAATTGAGTTTTCAGAAAGCAGTTTTCAAAAAACTGAATCAAGTAGAGTTTTTTGTATAGTTTTCTGTTTTCAGTAACCGAAAACTATTTCCATAATTACAAACTAAGCAAGCCCTAATTTTCATGATTTTTTGGTGAAATTTTAAAAAATAAAGAGAATGAAATATTATTTTAGAATGTGATAACCAAAATATTGAGGATGTTTCAGGAGTGCCTAACACATTTCCTTAACATAATCGAAATCGAACTTCGATCTTAATGATCTAGACTTGCATAGAGTCAGGATTGACCCAAGAAATTATGGCAAAAGTGAAATTTTCCTCAACTGAGACTCTTAACACTCAATCTCCCCATTTAGGAAGAAGAGATTATACCATTTGAACTAGTGCCCATATTGGTTCATTTAGACCTATTTGTTCTAGAGTGTCCAATAATCAAGTGTCGAGGCATTGCAATAAGGTAGCTTACTGTCACGCCCCGCAAACAAGAGCCTACGCCACGTAGGCGCCACACAGTCGCCCAGCAGACGATGACATGGAGCCTGCTTAGACCGGAGCTCTCTAAACTTCTCTACACAAGTATGGAACTTTCCGGAATTCTCTAGATTAGTGTGGAGTTGTCTAGGCTTTTTTAGACTTGTCTAGAGTTGTATAGAATTCTCTAGACTTGTCTTGTACATTCTATATAGTTGTGTAGATATTTCTTTGGAGGATTCTAGACACTCAATCTAGGCCACACATTTGTACACATCTAGAATGTTCTTGTAAGGCCAATGGCCTATAAATAGGAGGTGAGAGTTCATTTGCTCCTCACCAAGCAACCAAGTTATAATCTCTCATCTCAAGCAATACAAGTTATATACATTCTCAAACTCTCTTACTCACTTGCCTAACCTCTTCTTACACACCCAAGTAAGCAAAACACTTGTCTAGCCTTAGTCTTCACTAAGCTAGCACACTCGGGTAGGCTGACTTAGCGCTTCAAGGGGGCTTGAAAGTGTCTAAGGCCGCACGTGAGCTTGGAAAAGTCCAAGTCTGTGACAGTTGGTATCAAAGCTAAGGTCGTAAGGCGTCACACCTTGTGTAGAGGAAGCTATGGCGGAGCAATCAGAAGTGACTAACAATCAAGAGGATGAGCTACGTGGAAGGGAAGCAAATCTCCCTCCAGTCGGAATGAGGACGAGGGCTAGGTCGAAGGACATCATGGTGGGCTTAGAGGCACGTATGGCAAACATGGAGGGGTCCATAGCCAACGTGTTGGAGCAGCTTGAGGATGCTCACCAGCGCATGGATGGGCTGGAGTCAGAGGACGCTAAGGTCCAGAATGCTGTCGAAGGGTCACTCAATGCCCTAAGTGGTGACTTTCGGCAGGAACTCCAAGCACTTCAAGAACTTATGTTGGGCGAGTTTGCCACCCTATGTGGCTATGTTGATCAGGTGCTTGGCATTTTCTGTGAGCAAATAGAGGAAGTGCGAGCGAACTGGGCATTGTGCAAACGGGTGGTGGCGTTCGGCACAGCTACTACGGGGGTAGTAGCACCTCGAGTTGATATTCCCAAGCCTAAGTGCTATAGTGGGAACCAGGTAGTGAGGGAGTTGGAGAACTTCCTCTTCAGCATGGAGCAATACTTTGAGGCTACGGGCATAACGGATGAGACCATCAAGATACGCACGGCGACTCACTACCTCATAGACTATGCCCTATGATGGAGGAAGAAGTATGGCGATATGGGCAAAGGTACGGTCTCTATTGATACTTGGGCTGATTTTATAAAAGAAATTAAGAAGCATTTCTATCCTGAGAATGCCGAGGATGAAGCCAGGGGCAAACTTCGAAGGCTAAAACAGGTTGGGTCGATTCGGGACTATGTGAAAGAATTCACTAACTTGACTCTTGAGTTCCCAGACTTATCCGACAAGGACTCTC